GAGAGAGAGAGAGAGAGAGAGAGAGAGAGAGAGAGAGAGAGAGAGAGAGAGAGAGAGAGAGAGAAAGATTGCGCCATAGCGCGCGCACGCGAGAGAGCGAGAGAGAGAGAGAGGGCGAGCCCGAGGAGGCGGACGCGCGCGGGGACAACGACGGCTCAGCGCGGCAGCGGACGGCGGCCCCAAGGACGAAGATCGGCGATGAAGACGACAACGGCGCGCAGCTGAACTAGAAATTGAACGCGCATTCAATTTTTTTTGAACGCGCATTCAATTATTTGAACGCGTGTTCAGGTGTTTTGAACGGAGGCTGGGGGGGGTTCCTGTGCGCGGCCCGCGCCGCATTGTAGGCGCAGTGGGGGTTTCGGGGCCGTGGGGGGTGCGTGGCCGACACAATGAGTCGGCTCGGGGTTGGCCCGACGAGGCCTGGTGAGGGGAGGGACGCCGGCGGCAGTTGGAGCATCGTGGGACAGGCTGAGGGCGGACCGCTTCGGTGAACCCATCAGTGAGCGGGCACGATGCCGCGAAGTCAGTCTCGGGTGTTTGAGGATTTGGGGGAGGACGAGAATCGGAAGGCGCAGAAGAAGTGTTGCGTGTACAAGTACATCCGCGTGGGACAGAGTCTCGGCGAGAGATTCCGCGGCAATCGCATGTTGAAGTGCGTTTTCTGTGGCCACGAGTTCCAGGGCAACCAGTTCGTGGCGGCGTGCCATTTCCACCAGGGCAAGGGATGTCCGGAAGTGACCGACGAGGCGCTTGTCGACATCCACTACAACAATGAGTACAAGATGTCCGACAAGTTCCTAAAGCGGATCCAGCAATTTGAAGAGCTTCACGGTGCGGCGCCTGCGACGGACCCGCGACGGGACGAGGGGGGGGAGGGAGAGACGCGGAGGAGCAGATTGACGTGGACGACGACGTTGAGGAGGTTGCACGGGCGGGGTCGTCAGGGAGGGAGCGAGGGAAGGACGTTGTCAGCGAGCCGGGGGGGCAGCGGGGCCAGTACTTTGCGTCGGCGCACGTGTCTGTTCGTACACGGGCAGGTGCGGATACGGCTGAGGCGGGTCCGTCTGCGGGGAAGAGGAAGGAGAGAGAGGAGGGGGCCAGACCGACGGCAGCACAGAAGAGGATGAGACAGAACACGATCACGGAGTCATTCACTTCAAAGTGGCAGATGGATTTCAAGAAGAAGTGGCTGCGTTTTGTGTACAGTCAGCGCCTAGCGTTCAACGTCTTCCGGAGCGAGCCGTGGTTGAACGTCGTCCGACACTTCAGGGATTTGTCGAGGCCAGTGAAGGTGTTGTGGCCTTCAGAGAATGAGATCGCGGACATAGAGACCATTGTCCACATGGCGGACGATGTGGGAGCTGATCTCGCGGAGGTCAGGGCTCCTTTCTATGTCACGGGGGCCACCATTATGTCAGACGGAAGGAAGTCACGCGATGCTAGACCCATCGTTAACTTCCTTGCCGGCGGGTCGCGTGGGGTGATGCTCGTCCGGACGATGAACAGGGAGGGTGAGCGGGATCGGGCGCCTGATGTGTTGGCGCGCTGGATCAAGGTGTTCGATGACTTCTCCCCTAAGTGGGTAAACGCCATCTGCACCGACTCCGCCTCGGCGTACGTCGCCGCGGCGAACATGCTCCAGGGGCCCCAGCAGAGGCCAGAGCAATGACGGATCACGTGGCTCCCATGCGCAGTGCATGTCTGCAACAAGATGTTGTCAGACATTGGTTGTTCGGGCCCGTGGTCCAAGGACATCATCGTGAGGGGGAGAGCGGTGGTGCACTTCATTAAGGAGCACGACGCCGCTCTCCATATCTTCTGAGGGGAGAGCGGTCAGATGGGCCTCATCTATCCTTGCGAGACATGTTTCGCATCCGTGTTCGTGATGGTGGAGCGTTTGCTGGCAGTGAGGTCAGCATTGGAGAGGACGGTGGATGGCGATACTTGGGGTATGGTCCCTTGAGACCATTCCGTTTGTCATTTGGCTAGGTGGGTCAGGTGGCAGGTGCGACATGGCAGTTGGTGGGATTCCATGGGCATCTTGTTCCGTATCATGGAGAGCCTGTGTACGACCTGCTGCGCAGGTTGGAGGGCTGCATATGTCGCAGGTGGTTGAGTGGACACAGGATCTGGCCCGCCAGGTAGCAGAGGAGGTTTGTGCACTTTCGACAGATCTTGCACACTACATTGTGCAGAGGGTGCAGGCTCGATGCGCTCACATGCTGGACCCGGCGCACGCCGCTGCTCACCTTCTCTGTCCCAGCCGGCGGGACTTGCGGGACTTCGAGGGCATGGTCAGCGACTACGACGTGAGTTTGGTGAGGGAGGCGGAGACTTACATCTTGTCGCAGACAGGGTTCAGTGTGGCGAGCCTCGACTACGAGACCGCCTGTGCGCAGTTGCGCGACTTCCACACACGGAGGGGGACGATTGCTTGGGGGGGGAGAGACGGAGAGAGAGATGCACAGAGGTGCAAGGGCGATGCGGAGACGTACGAGTCTGGGTGTTGGTGGTCAAGGTACGGGCAGTGCGCCCCGCAGTTGCAGGTTATCGCTCTTCGTGTGATGTACATGTGGACGTGCTTCTCTCCTACGGAGAGGAATTGGGTCGTCCACGAGGGTGTACAGACGAAAAAGCGTAACCAGCTTGAGTTCGAGAAGGTCGCGAAGTTGGTTGAGATCTCAGCCAACGTCCGCCTTCTCTCTCATCAGCGGGCAGGCCGCGGGTTCGCGCCGCCGTGGACTCTAGATGAGTCGTTGTTGGACGTGGAGGGAGGTATCGGGATTCGCCCGGGGACGAACGAGAGCAGGACGCGGGAGGAGGTCGAGGATCAGAGACGTTAATGGCAGCGAGACCCATGTGGGTCCAGAGCTCCTCCGGGTGATGTGGGCGATGTTTTTGGGACTCGAGCCGCCACATTGCACCCGTACCCTCGAGACGACAGTGATTCCGAGGGTCACGAGGACGAGGACGAGCCGGCAGGTCCCGCTACTGCCACTCCTGCGGCGGATGAGCGTGATGAGTGGAGCGACCTTGAGGACGTCCGTAGACGGAGTGACGGAGATGACCTTTTCGTTCGAGTTGATTTGGAGGAGGAGTCTAGGGGTCGTCATGGGAGCCCTTTAGAGCGTTCGAGGCTACGTCCGCTGAGCGCGAGAGAGATCCTGGGTCTGCACCTTCGAGGGGGGCAGAGTCGGGGATTGGCCATCGTTCTCTGGGTCGCTCTGGCATGGCATCATCCACCGCTCTTCCCACTTCGACGGAGCAGCTTCATCGACAGCCAGTCGGTGCAGATCGATTGCAGAGATTGGTGAGGGGCCCGAGACAACGATTGGAGGACAGATTAGAGGGTGGTCCTATGCCGGTGCAGGGTGACGACAGAGACACACAGGGGTTGGTTGGTGGAGATGGTGGTGCGTTGGCCGGAGGTGGAGGCGGTGCCGAGGTTGATGCGGCGGTTGAGGTGATCCCGATGGGCGGCGGAGGCGGTTTCAGTGAGTTTGGTGACATGGGTATGCCCCCGGGAGAAAGCGTGGGTCTGGCCCGAGGAGAGAGCGAGTCCCGTGGGGACATCAGTGTGGGTATGCAGGACTTACTGGGACAGATCAGCTTCGCGGATCCGAGTAGTTTCTCCCCTGCCATGCGCGCAGAGGTGATGTTGGGGGCAGAGGGGGATGAGGACCGGACACCCCCTGGAGAGACATCTGCAGAGAGGGTGGATAGGCTTGATAGTCGTCGAGCTTGCCTCATGGCACAGAGGGACCCTAGGACGTAGGAGCTCGCCCGTCTTGCGGCGGAGGACCGACGGAGGCAGCTGGGGACACTCACGCCGGCGTCCGTTGACGTGGGGCCAGCTGCCCACTCGGATCCTCCGGCAGAGGAGCCACGTTCGGAGCCGGCGCAGCCTCCTGCCGTCCAGCTGAGGCCCGAGGAGACCTTGTAGGAGGTCGCGGGCGTGCCTCTGCCCGTGGGTTCAGTTGAGGGTGCCGTGCATATGTCCCCGGGTCTGGAGGACATACAGACGGGGCAGTCAGTGGGCGTTGATGATATTCGCCCATCGACACAGGCGGAGGGGATAGCGCCGACCACCGGGGGGGACGGCGTCGTAGAGGGGGCCGTTGGTGTTGGCGGGTCGGGGGTGTCGTCGGCGGCCGATCCGATGTCCACGTCTGGAGGGGGAGACCCCGCACAGGTGGACAGGCGTGACGCGGACGGACAGGAGATGCCACAGACTTTGGTGGTTCGCACTGCCGTGGGGCAAGTGGTGCCACATCAGGCACCGTTTTTGGAGGGTTATAGGCGTCCTGCACATGGCGGTGGCCCGGTCGAGGAGCGACGTGTAGGCAGGGGCGTGTGCATACCCCCGGTCCCTACTTTTGCGCCGTCACGGACGAGGCCGGAGATCAGGCATGTGGCTACGCCTCGGGGCAGCCTCCCTTTTGGTTTTATGACCGCTGAGGAGTTGGAGGACCACGGCAGGAGGGATTTGACGGAGATCGACCAGCGTGTTTTGAGGTCAGTCCCGGTGGAGGGGAAGCTGCCTCACGTGCAGGACTTATCTTGGGGGCCAGCCAGCCCCAGCTTACCTTCTGGGTGTTCCATCGCAGCGCCATCTGGCGGGGCTGCAGGGGACTTACCTTCTGGAGGTTCCGTCGCAGCGGCATCTGGCGGGGCCGCAGCGGACTTACCTTCTGGAGGTTTGGTCGCAGCGCCATCTGGAGGCGCCGTAGGCCCTTCGTCACCCTTGACCGCAGCTCCCAGGGAGGGCGGCAGTCTCACCCCGAGGTCGGTTGCCCGTAGACGGAGAGACACTACCCAGCGTGCGCGGGAGTTGTTGGACACCATGTTGTTCGGTCGCACTGATCGACCATGGAGTGAGACGAGACGGGTGACGGTGGCGAGTGCCGGTCGTCAGCCAGGTTTGAGAGGGGTTTCCATGAGCGCGAGACGCCGAGATGTTGTAGCTTCAGGGTTTGGCGGTAGAGGGGGCGGCGGCGGTGGCAGTGGTGGCGACAGCGACGGTCGACGTGAGGGCGCAGGCGGTGCCACGATGAGCGTAGTGAATCCGCCGCGGACGTACGGTTTGAGAGAGGCGTCAATTATTTTGGAGGAGCCTGATGTTGTTACACGACTGAGGCAGGCCCGACACGTGCCCTTAGATCGACGCCAGGAGGGGGAGACTTCAGGGACTGACGGTCTACCTATGGCACGCGAGTCACGCCGACGTAATGACCTAGCAGCAGCAGCCATCAGGACGGTGAGAGGCAAGAGAGTCATTATGGACGACGATCCCGACGAGCTTCCCGTCGCTCCCGAGCCTTCTGCCGGCGGACGTGGCGGCCAGCGTCAGAGAGATCGAGGACGTGGCAGTGGTCGGTCCCACGGACAAGTTTCTCATCGGTCCGAGCGAGATCCACGTGCACACGACGATTGTTGACGGATTACGGACTTGCGTTTTCGTGACTTTCTCAGTGTACTTTAGTTTTTTTTTATCCATGACAGACGTAGTGTCTCTTGAGGTTGTATTATAGTCTACTTTCCAGTGGGTACTTTTCTGCGCAGACGTAGTGTTTCGTGATGTTGTATTATAGTGTACTTTCCAGTACGCACTTTTCTCCAGTTTGCTACTTCGGAGATTGTAGCTTTCCAGTGTATTTTAGTGTACTTTTTTGTCGGCATTTTCGGGTTGGTACTTCTTTCCACAGACTGGCGGGGCTTCGACACGATGTGTCAGATTTTTGCTATTATCCATGCTATATTGGTTTGC